AATCATTAATATATATATATATAGTAGTTTTAATTCACCATCATCCGTCATTAAAACCACCTACTTACGTGTTAAAAGCCAGAAGGTAAAAGTACCAAATATGAAATTAACTTTCTTCTTTCTATCGAACAATCTAATTGTAGCAATCTGTCTTGGTTCTGCAACGATGCGTGTAGGCAGCTCTCCGCTATCGATGTCGCTGTTATAATTATTTTCCTTCCTTTTTAAATTTGCTGAGTTTAATTCTTAAATTAATTATTGTCTTCCAATTCTCTACATATATATAATATATATCTTGTTTCTAAACAGCGAAACATTCCTACACTGGTAATTTCACCGTCCCTAGAAAAACATATGAAAATCCTATAAGACGATACATAAGAAGACCAAAAAGATCTATTAACCAGGTGGACTATGTTGCATTGTACAAAGATTTCAAAAAATCGGTAAGTTTCTCAGCTTGATGTAATTCTGATAATTTTATCAAACGACATCATTTTCCCTCAAACGGAACTGTCATAAAACATTTTCTTTATTTTTGGACCCCTATATAACCTTAAAGTAGCTCCCCTGCACTCATTCCTTTAAACTACTCACTTATTTTAATAAAAATTTAATATTATTTATGTGTTATTGTATGCCTTTGAACAAGAGTCTGCTAATGGATTAGCACTGGAAATTAGCAAGAACGAAATATTTTACATATTCGAGAATAAAAAAACAAACAAATTTTATATTATTTTTGTTTTCAAGACTCTTTAATGCCAAACTTTTTATTTTTACTCGTAATCAGCAATCCTAAAAACAGTGAAGTATACTTATTTCAGTAGATTTTCTTTTCTTGATGTCAGCCCACTCGAAAACAAGAATACTCTTCCTGTAGATTTTGATTTAATAGGTTGTGTTTAAGAAAATTTAAAAATTTACTGTCAAAACTTTAAAAAAAATAAGGATAAACAATTGTTGTTCAATGGTAAAATGTTATTAAAAGTAATATTTTGATACTTGCCTAACTTTTAGCAAGCAACTAGATTCGTTCACAATTGAAATTTCGGAAGTGAACAATTTTCTCATGAAAACTATAGCTTACGAAATCTACATTGTTGTCAAAGGTGAAATTTCCCCCAAAGTATTAAAATGCACGCTAATATTATGCAAAATTTCTTTTAGATACCCATGGCTCAATGATTCCCATGCGCTTTGTTTTGTTTATTCTGTACAAGCAAAACAACAGTATAAACTGAAAGTAGCTTCGCAAGAACCGACAAATCCTAAATAAATAAATAAAAACGAATCGTAATTAAAAACATAATGAAAATTAGGTATTAATCATTATCCAAAATGGCTTTGGGACATTTTTCGTTTGATAATTTTTTATTTTTTTTCTAGCTGAAAATTGCTTTTGGTAAAGATTCTGACTTTTTCATATTGGGTTGCGAGTAAGTAATATTTAATATTCAAATTAAAAATGTAATGGATTTATAAATAAGCTTTAAAGTGAACTGATATTATTCTATTAATTTTAATTCAGCTTGTTATTTTTCTCTTACACAATGTATTTATTTAAGTATCTATTTTTTAAATTTTTTGTTTCATTATCTAAGACTAAATTTTTATCGATTTCTTTTACATTATAGAACTCATCGAGAAGATTTCAAATGTGAGATTGAAATGAAATTTAAAACAAAACCAGATGAAAAATTATTAGATTCAATTGCTGATCCTTCTCTCTGTATTCCATTGGGAAACACAGACTATTGCACAATAGAATCAAATCTAATCATGAAAAGGCCATCTAAAGGTATCAAGAAAATAATTATAATCAGTGTTTGTCTCAGTAATATGAAATACATAAATATTTTACATGTATCTTATTTTCCGATTCTTTTATACCCTTATTAGGAGTGTTAAAATTAACAGATCCTTGTGAAGAAAGTGTAAAAAATCAAATATGTGGGCCAACAACAAATTGCAGAAAAAAAGGAACGAACAATGAATTGTTTGATTGTATTTGCAAAGACGGCTATTCTGCTATTAGTGTTTATCCAATATTTGAAGGAGAAGAGAGCTTACGCGATCATTGTGAAGGTAATTGTATTTATACTTCTCCTTCTTTCTTTACTCCAAAATTCAACTAATTCTACTACATTTAATTGTATATTTAATTGTAGAACAAGTCTATTGGATGAGTAGTTTCTGAAATTGACCAACGTAAGACCGAAAATAGATTTCACTGAGTCAAAAATAAAGGTGTTTAACAAAGCATTACTTATTTTAGGGTATCGTTGTTAACAAACGATACCATAAAATAAGTTTGGCAGAAACATTTCAAAAATGTAGTATTTTTAAAATTCAACAACTCAAGAACTATTCGACCGATTTCTGTCACGTTTTGTACTTTTCCATTTAAAATTGTATTCCTTAAAAAACTTTATACCTTACAGATCATAATTTTTTTTAACTGTCATGAAGTAAAATATATATTTGCTAAAATTGGTTAAATGAATTATATAATTACGTGCAAAAATTTTTCAGTTCACTTAGAAACTTCTCGAAACATGGTGAAATGCGCAAAAAGTAAACTTAACATTAAGGGGTCCGAACTCTGGAGCATTCTCCTTGCAAAACTCTTGTTACCATATTTCCTAGATTGCGACTTATCCCTATTGCGACTATATTTTGGGGGTCAGAGATCAGAAATCCCCTCAAAAACAATGTACGTTTATTCAGAGAAAATACGTTTTTGTGTGATTTCGTAGCTTAAAATATCGTCTGCACTAATTAGATTATTTGAGGTCTCCCCCTCGGATCATCAAGATCGATTCCCAGAACGTGAAGATAGATCTTTAGATCAAAATTTATTTACATTTGGCAACTTTTCTTATTTGTGTATATATTTTTTGTGCATTGTACATAATTTAAGAGATTCCTTTGAAATATTTCCATAACACTTTACTGAACATACGATCAGCCACGCTAAAGTTATTCAGGTGATCCGTTTATCCTTCTTTTCTATTTCCTCACTGATTCTGCTAAGAAGAGTCGTTTGCTTACCTTTCTGTTCAATCTTAGCACTACAAAATATTCCCATTATGATTCTTGAAGTGCATGTATGAAGTGCGCATAAATAATTTCGCTTAGTAAACACTCTTCGAAATAATGTTTAAAATTAAAGGTATATTGTTAGGAGCAATTTGGTGTGTGCAGAAAAGTAACTATCGCTTACTAATCAGGCTAAAATGTGAATTATAATTAGCGCATGCATCATATTGTGTTGAAACATGAATCATGAAGCATTCATCATATTGTGCTAACATCATATTGTGCTGAAGCGATTGCTGTAACTATGGTTACGAGGTTTAAATCTTTCAAGTAAGTGTGATGGGTCAATATTTAAGACAGGTTTTGGCTCGGGTATATAAAAGAAACAGATATTATTTTCAATTTTTTCTATTTCAAAGCTCCCCTCTTTGAAATGCGATTTTCCTTGTTTCCATAGCAACAGGCTGCCTTAAAGTTTGTGGCTGGAAAATTTCTTTATATAGAGAGAGACTATTGTGTTCCTAGGCCTGGTTGAATGGCAGAACTCACAGCCGTGTAAACGCTGTTTATTTATTAATATTTTGTGTATTGCTAACTGTCATAATTGATATACTATCATAATCTAATAATTATTCGTTATAGATAATAAAAAATTAATGCAGTTTCAGAACATTTTATTTCTTGCAAGAAAAATAATTTAAAAATACTAATAAATCATTATTTTCAGACATTAATGAATGCTTGAAAGCAACGTCTTGCCCAAAGAATTCACATTGTTTCAACACACCAGGAAGTTATAGTTGCTTTTGTAACAATGGTTTCAGGGATAAGTCAGATAATGTAAAGAAAGATGGCTGCATTGGTAAGCCAGTTTTAATTGTACGCAGACGAATGTTTTAGTATTATGTTCCTGCATGCATATTAAAAATTGAAAACTCAATTTTCACATTTTTTTGAATATTACTGTTTGAACATAATAATTGAACTCAACTGTTTTTATCCTTTGGTTAATTGTCACAGCACTATAAATTTTAAGCTGAGTATACCTGCGGACTTATTTCCTAAATTCGAATAGTTTCATTAACTTGTTTTCAAACCGTGTCTATTAAACGTTTCCTTAAGAAAAATATTTGAATTGGATAGTTATGGACAACAATGCTCTACTTATTTATAAATGCTTACCAAACAAAAAATTGACATATGTTGCTGTATGATACAGTTCATTCATTAATTTAACCTTTCCTGGCCAGAGAAAGAGAAACAAGCGCTTCAACCGGTCCATACGCTCTGAGTTTATACGTACGAAAGAGTCCGTTTACGTGTTATACGAGATACAATATAAGATTGATCATATTTGTGTGATCTTGTGCCACTTCTGTCAGAAAAATTCGTTTCATATATGATACCATGGGCCGTGCTGGGAAAACCGTGCGATGGCACATATGTGATCATGGACTAATAGGGGTTAAAGGGAGTTAAAAGGACTGCGCAGCAGAATGCATATAATTGATTAACTGTGATAAAAATTTATGCACATAAGCAAGACAACGTTAAATAGTATGATTTTCAGTAGCGAAAGGAGATTATATTTTATTTTATAACCATCGAACAGGCAACCCAATTTTGGATTTAAGAATACTAATGTTCAACTCCGAAGCCATGTAATTTTAAACGCAATCCAGGAGACAAGGGAACTCCTGGAAAAAATATTAGGAGATATTTTCCTTCTTAGAGGACTTTTCGAAAAAAATTAACCCGCATTTGCCATGCAAGGTGAAGAAAACCACGAAATCCTCCCACGGTAAGCCAGAAAGCAAAGGGACTCAAATCCATGATACGTCTACCACTGATAATATTTAACGTTAGCACTGTGGTTGGTCCAGTCGAGGAGTGCGAAATTAGTATCGACCAGTCATCACTGGGATTCGATTCAGGTTCACCTCATAAAAAGGCGAACTCTCTATTCCCTGCGCCACCATGGCACAGTGAAGGGAGATTTTATTTTATTTTATAACCGGTGTTGAACAGTCGACTCGATCCATTTACTTTACGACTACTTATGTTCAAATCCGTAGCCATGTAATTTTAAACACAATCCCGTAGACAAGGGAACATCTGTATCAAGTATAGAGAGAAATTTACCTTCATGAGGGACTTTTTGATGGAGCTAAGATCCCCATGTGAGTTACATGGAGAGGAAAACTACGAAAACCTCCCACGGTTAGCCAGACTGCAAGGGGACTCTAACCCATAATCCGTCTACCACTGAGGATATTTTTATGACAGCACTGCGCTCGGTGCAAGCCAGATGGGGTATTTTCATTGGCCAGCCATCAACGATTTAAACCCTGTTTACTTCACTGGAACGCAAACCCTCTATCCCCCGAACCATCACAGCTCAGTGAAAGTTGATGGCATCATTCATTTACTTATATAAGATTAAGTGCAACATCGATGCAACGATTCCTAACTCTACAACTATCTCTAATAATTTTACTAGCGGAAATGTATTAATTGGGGATTTTAACGTTTACTTGCCTTAGGCTTCGACAGATCACTTACGCTCTTCTCTTGAATTTTTATACCCCTTGTTCGCAACCGCTTGCTCTAATTAGAGTTCGTCATAAAAGGTGACATTTTTCGTTATATTATCATAGCGTTTCGCTCATATTCCTCCGCTAAAAACGCTTACTGGTAGAGGATATTCTGTTCTAGGTGTATTACTCTTAGCATGGCTTTGGATCCATTTAAAATGCTCTCAAGTGAGCTGGTGATTAAGTTATAGGTAATACCTATAACTTAATTTACCACGACCTAATTTGAAATAAAAATCATGCAAGCATACTGAAAACTGATGTAATTAGTTATGTTAAAATTTAAGTGAAAGCAAAAACAGTTCTGTTACGCTAAATATTCCCATATTTGTCCAACCACTTTTTTTAAATCTTATTAATTCTGATTCATTAATTCCCCTAAAAATATCACTTATAAGGTTCTTCCAAGTTCTTTAATTGTGTCGGTATATAATTTTGAATTTGATTTCTTGATTTCGTGGTATTAATCAATTTTGATATATTGATTTTTTTATTTATTTCTATTAAAAAATAAAAGAGATGTTTAATGTATTAACACCATGTGCTTCCATAAAATTAAAAATGACAACATAAATTGTAAACAAAATTATATATTTATCGTCACTTTATATAAGTAATATACCCATATGTTGACACAGGTTTCGGATATATATATATATATATATATATATACAGTGGAACCTGTCTAAATTGACCACCCTCGGGATCAAGTCAAATGGTCACTATATAGAGGTGGTCACTTTACGAAGACTCTTTAAAAAGGACTCTTGAAATAAAACTAGTAGAAAATGGTCACCTTACTCAGGCGTTCACTTTACCCAGGTGGTCACTTTTACAGGTTCCACTGTAT